TACTACTACTACTACTACTACTACTACTACTACTACTACTACTACTACTACTACGACTACTACGACTACTACGACTACTACTACTACGACTACTACAACTACTACGACTACTACTACTACTACTACTACTACTACTACTACTACTACTAATAATAATGATAATAATAATAATGATGATAAGAATAATAATAATAATAAATAGTGATGGTGATGATGATGATGATGCTGCTGCTGCTGATGATGATGATGATGATGATGATGATGATGATGATGATGATGATGATGATGATGATGTTCTCGTCGTGAGCGCTAGGCCTGGCCTGGGCCTCTGGCGTGTCTTTGGTGGCTCTCTGGGACTCTGCCTACCCCAGATGTACCCTTGGTGGCATAGCGGGTTGAGCCTAAATGCAGCATCACGGGCGAGAGCAGCGTTACGGCGGAAATCGCTCTGAGACTGCATCCGGTCACTACTGCGCCTCCTGCGTTACACTCCTTGCAATGATTCTTGCAACGGCCCACCTCGCAGCAGCGGTGCATCCCCCCCCCCTTGGCTGCGCGCAACCCCCCTGGCGCAAGGCCTCCTGCGCCGCTGCCCTCTGACGCCCGCCGGCGCCGCGGCGGCTCCGCTTGTGGGCAGCCGCGCCGGCCAGACAGGCGCAGCCGTCCGTGCTGCTTGCGGTGAGCACAGTTCGGCTGCGTTTTTTCAACTCGCAACCAAACTTAAAGTTCATAAGGTTTGCGTTGGTTCGAGTTTGTGGCGTTCTTTCTTCTTCTAAACTTTAGAAGAAGAAGGAACGCCATAAAAGTAAAGTTTTGGCGCCCTGCGCGGATCTCGGCACAGTGATCGGTCATCGGGGGAGAGATGCCTCTTCGCTGCGACTCTCGTCTCGCAAAATCTCAAGTCCCGCCCTGTGCACTTTGGAGAATGTCCAGTCGCGCTTCGTGAAGCCAGCGCCCCCTTGACTCAGCCCACCTTGAAGGCTGCGGCCCCTGTCGCCGACAATGAGGCCCGCCCCTGAGCCGTTCCATGGATAGCAGAGCGTATGGTTCTGATTTCTGAACCATCGTCAGGTGCTCCTTCTGGTTCTCCTAGTGGCCTTAGCTGCGCGAGTCCTCTTCCAAGACAGCCCGCCCCGGCGAGGCCACACGCCCCCTGGGGTACAGGGTACCGCCCGCTTCGCCTCTTCCTCTTGCTTCTGTCTTCCCCCCCCGCCCTTCCTCGAATCCTACCTTCCCCTCCTCCAAGCCTTGGAGGAGGGAGCAAAGACCCCTCCCTTAGGGAGGGGCCTCTGCTCTCCCAGTGGGCGTGCGGCCCCGCCGGGGGCGAGGCTGCCCGTGGAAGGCTGCTCCTCGCTGGCTGTTGGGGACTCTCTCCTCCTTGCGGGCCCAGCGCCCGCGCAATCGGCACATCGAACTCGCGTTCGCGACGATGCCATCGTCCGCCACCGTCGCCCCCCTCTCCTCCCTCCCTCCCTCCTCATTCCTCCTTGCTCCTTCCTCCCTTTTCCTTCCTCCCCCCCTCCACCCTTCCATTTCACTCCCCACTCCTTCCTCCCTCCTTCCTGGAGAAAGGAACGCTGTGAGGCCCTCCTCTCTCGCAAACAACGAACAAATCATCGGGATCAGTGATCCGCTCTCTGCAATACGATTTGACAAAACACCCAATCCCAATCGAATGGTAATCGCCTGAGGAGGTCGGTTTCGCCACAGGTCGCGAATGACCGAGGCAATCGTATTCTGGGCGGAGAATCCGTAGCCCGCTCGGACGCTTCAGGGCGCCCGGGGGAGGGAGGCACACTTGAAAAACATTTAAACAACAACGTGTGTTTTCACAAGGAAAACCAAGACAAACTTGAAAAAAAACGCGACAATCACAAGTGTCGCTGTTTTTTTTCCTGGGTTTTCCATGTGTAAACAACTGTTTTTTACTGTTTGTCCTGTTTTCCTCTCCTGCGTTCTGCTGCGAGGGAAGGCCGTGGGCCGCTCGGAGACCCCAAGGCGCTCAAGGGAGAGAGGAGGAAAACCGGAAAAACAGGAAAAACACTAAAAACCTGTTGTTTTCATATGGAAAAGCACGAAAACCTGGAAAAAACAGCTACAGTCACAGGTTTCGTTGCTTTTTCCAGTTTTTCCTTAACAAAAAACATACGGTGATTCATGTTTGTTATTGTTTCCCTCTGTCGCTTTCCTGGACACAAGGCGCCGCCACTGCAGATCTCCCCCACAATGGAAACCCTGGTGAAAGGCCGCCACACAAGGACTCGCTTTGTAAAGGCTGCTACAAAACGATGTCAATTGTGAAGACCACTGCAGATCCCCCACACTTGAAATGTGTAAGGTCGCCACAAAGGGAATGCGTTTGTAAAGGCTGCTGCGCAAGGGTTCAAATTGTGGAAACTTTGCACCATTGAAATACCGTCAAGCACAAGTCTTCCCAGCTGTTTTCTATTTTCCCGGTGAAAGCAAAAATTGTTCTCTCTCTTTTTTTATAAAAAAGTGGTTGTCATGGTTTTTCTGTTTTCCTCTTTCGCTCTCCTGGGCTCTAGGTGCCGCCACTGCTGATCCCCCCACAAAAGGAAACCCTGTTGTAAGGCCGCCACAACATGAATTATGTTGTGACACGTGGTTACAAAACTAAAAATTACAAGTGTGAAGGCCACTGCAACTCCGCCACACTTGAAAACCTGTGCAAGGTCGCTACACGAAGAATCCGTTTGGAAAGGCTGCTACACAAGGATAGTAAGCGTGGAGCGTCTGCACCAGCAGAACACCCAGGTCTTCCCAGCTTGTTTCATATTTTCCATGTGAAAGCACCAGTCTTGTCATACTTTTCGCAACCAGTATGTGGTGTTGGGTCCTCGTTTTCAAGAGACGGTCCCCGCGTTCCTCCTCTCCTCCTCTTCCCCCTCCTCCTCCTTCCTCCCTCTTCCATGCGCTTCGCCCACCCAGTACAACGCTTCGTGGCCCCACAGGGAACTCCACCGAAACCCCCAGTGGGACCGCCCGCATGCGCCCGCCACCACCCAGCACAGCCCTTGTTCCCTGCGTTTCGCCCACCAAATACAGCGCTTCGTGGCCCCATAAGGGGGCTCCACCGACGGGCCCAGTGGCACCGCCCGCATGCGTCCGCCACCACCCAGCATAGCCCTTACCCCCTGCGTTCCACCCACCCAGTACAGCGCCCTGTGGCCCCATAGAGGGGGCCCCACCGAAGGTTCCAGTGGCACCGCCCGCATGCGTCCGCCACCACCCAGCACAGCCCTTGCTCCTTGCGCTTCACCCACCCAGTACAGCTTTTCGTGGCCCCATAGGGGGCTCCACCGAAGGTACCAGTGGCACGCGTCCGCCACCACCCAGCACAGCCCTTGCTCCCTGCGCTTCGCCCACCCAGTACAGCGCTTCGTGGCCCCATAAGGGGGCTCCACCGAAGGTCCCAGTGGCACCGCCCGCATGCGTCCGCCACCACCCAACACGGCCCTTGCTCCCTGCGTTTCACCCACCCAGTACAACGCTCCGTGGCCCCATAGGGAGCGCCACCGAAGAAGATATCCACAATTGCGGTATTCACAACAACATGTGGTTTGGTCTTTCGCCAATCTAATGTTTGTTGTTCCGTTTTGTTGGTGTTCCTCTCTAGCTCTCCTGGGCTCAAGGTGTCGCCACTGCAGATCCCCCCACAATGGAAATGCTGTCGTAAGGCCGCCACACCATGAATTATGTTGTGAAAGGCGGCTACAAACATATTATAAGTGTAAAGGCCACTGCAGATCCGCCACACTTGGAACCCTTGTGTAAGGTCGCCACAAAAGAAATCCTTGTGTGAAGGCTGCTACAAAAAGAATTTAAGTGTGAAGCGTCTGGACAATAAGAGTACCGACAGTCACGGGTCTTCCTAGTTATTTCACATTTTCCATGTGAAAACATAAGTTGTTTCATGTTTGTCCTGGTTTTCCTGTTTTCCTCTGTAGCTTTCCTGGGCCCAAGGCGCCGCCACTGCAGATCCCCCCACAATGGAAACCCTGTTGAAAGGCCGCCACAAAATGAACTATGTTGCAAAAGGCTGTTGCGAAGGCGCCTAATGGTGAAGGCCACTGCAGATCACCCACACTCGAAATATGTGTAAGGTCGCTACACAAGAAATCCGTTGGTAAAGGCTGCTACAAAAAGGGTTATAAGTGTGGAGCGTCTGCACCATAAGACTACCGACAGTCACAGGCCTTCCCAGCTTTTTCAAATTTTCCCGGTGGAAACACATATTGTTTCATGTTGTTCCTGCTGTTCTTGTTTTCCTGTCTAGCTTTCCTGGGCTCAAGGTGCCGCCACTGCAGATACCCCCACAATGAGAACGTTGTTGTAAGGCCGCCATTAAAAAAGGATTCCCTTTGTAAAGGCTGCTACAAAAGTCTTCTAATTGTGAAGGCCACTGCAGATCCCCTCACTTGAAATCCTTGTATAAGGTCGGCACACAAGGAATCCTTGTGTAAAGGCTGCTACACAAGGATATTTAAAATGTGAAGCGTCTGTACCACAAAAGTACCGACATTCACAGGTTCATTCCACGTGGGAACACCTGACTTTTCATGCTTGTTCCTGTTATGACGATGCTGCTTGTGACGCAGATGATGATGACGATGATGACGATGATGATGCTGATGCTGATGCTGATGCTGATGCTGATGCTGATGCTGCTGATGATGATGATGATGATGATGATGATGATGATGATGATGGTGATGATGATGCTTATGATGCAGATGATGACGATGATGACGATGCGGATGCACACATTGCGAGACAGGAGGGCCTCACAGCGTTCCCCTCTCCCTTCCTGCTTCCTCCTCCCTTCCTCCCTGCCTCCCTCATCCCTCCCTCCCTCCCTCCACCCTCCACCCTCCACCCTCCTCCACCCTCCACCCTGTTCCTTCTCCTCCTCCTCCTCCTCCTCCTCCTCCTCCTTCCGTTCCTTTCCTCCTCCTCCCACATGGTGCAGTGCCAAGGGCCTCGTCGAATCTTCTGACAGCCCGATTGAGGTGGCCCTCGTGGTCCAGGAGCTTCTCCTGGGGTTGTGAGGCGGCCGACGGGAGCCGATGCCCCACTGTCCAGGGGATGGTGACGATGAGAAGGAGGGAGGAGGAGGAGGAGGAGGAGGAGGAGGAGGAGGAGGAGGAGGAGGAGGAGGAGGAGGAGGAGGAGGAGGGGAGGAGGAGGAGGAGGAGGAGGGAGGAGGAGGAGACGGGAGGAGGGAGAAGTCAGGAGGAGTGGAGACGGTATGAGCGAAGAGGGTGGAGGGAACATTGAAGAGAGGGGAGGAGGACGATGGAGATCGCGTCATCATTCGGCATTGCATGCTGGCTGTCGTCTCGGTGCGCCTCCGGGTGGGCAGAGCGCCAAGCATGTGCCAACCGATGTACCGCCTGACTGCACTGTAGCTGACAACGGGCTAGAGTTCACAACTCCACCCAACACATGCCCAGCCCACACCCGCGGGCCAAGGGCACGTCCCTGCTCATCCATCCATCCCCTCTCCCCCTTCCCCTCCGCCTCCGCCTCCCCCTCCCCTCCCCCCTCCCCCTCCCCCTCCCTCTGCCTCTCCCCCTCCCCCTCCCCCCCCGCTTCCGCCTCCGCCTCCGCCTCCGCCGCCGCCTCCTCCTCATCATCTTCCTCCTCCTCCTCCTCATCCTCCTCTTCGTCCTCCTCTTCGTCCTTCTCTTCCTCCTCTTCTTGATTTTCGTATTGTAAGTCGTCGTATTGTTGTCCTTCCTCTTCTTCTTAGTCTTATTCGTATTCCTCTTCTTCTCCCTATTCTTACGATTAGTATTGTCATTCGTAATGTTATTATCATTATTACTATTAGTATTCCCACTCCCCCTCCTCCTCCTCCTCTTCCTCCTCCTCCTCCTCCTCCATGCTGCCATGTTGCCAGCGTGTGAGGGGAACTCCACGCGCGCCGTGGAACCTACCTCCTCCTCCTCCTCCTTTCAATATCATTCGTAATATTATCCGTCGTAGCATGCTTGTTCTTAGCATTCGAGTTCTTATTATCATTGGTATCAATAGTATTATGAATACTGCTCTTATTATTACTAATACGAATAGTGTTAGTAGTCGTATTCGTAATATACGCATTATGATTAATTGTACTATTATTAAGTACTTATCCGTATTATCTTCATTCGTAGTATTATTACGGTTATCATTATTATTATTATTATTACTATTATTATTATGATGATTATGATTATGATTATTATTATTATTATTCGTTTTATCAATATTCTTCTGAGTGCAATTATTATGGTGATTCGTCTCATTCGTCTTCGTAATATTCGTCTTCTTCGTCTGCTTAGCATTACTCTGCTTCTTATCATGGATCGTAGTATTCCTCCTCCTCCTCCTCCGTATCCTCCTCCTCCTCCTCCTCTTCCTCCTCTCCTCCCCCCCTCCATCCTCCTCCTCCCCCCCCTTCCCCCCCCTCCTCCTTCCCCCTCCTCCTCCTCCTCCTCCTCCTCCTCCTCCTCTCCTCCTCCTCCTCCTCCTCCTCCTCCTCCTCCTCCTCCTCCTCCTCCTCCTCCCCTCCTCCCCCCCTCCTCCTCCTCCACCTCCTCCTCCTCCTCCTCCTCCTCCGCCTCTCCTCCTCCTCCTCCTCCTCCGCATCGCTCGCTATATAAACCCCTCCTCTTCTCCTCCTCCTCCTACCCCCCTCCTCCCTCCTCCTCCTCCTCCTCCTCTCTCCTCCTCCTCCTCCTCCTCCTCCTCGGCTTCCTCCTCGTCCTTCCTCCTCCTCCTCCTCCTCCTCCCCTCCTCCATGCTGCCATGTTGCCAGCATGTGAGGGGAACTCCACGCGCGCCATGGAACCTGCCTCCTCCTCCTCCTCCTCCTTCCTCCTCCTCCTCCCCTCCTCCTCCTCCTCCTCTTCTTCCTCTTCTTCCTCCTCCAACTCCTCCTCCTCCTCCTCCTCCTCCTCCTCCTCCTCCTCCTCTCCTTTCAATAGCATTCGTAATATTATCAGTCGGATCATGCTTGTTCTTAGTGTTCGAATTCTTATTAACATTGGTATGAATACTATTATGAATACTAATCGCAGTATTAATGATACGAATAGTTTTAGTAGTAGTAGTAGTAGTAGTAGTAGTAGTAGTAGTAGTAGTAGTAGTAGTAGTAGTAGTAGTAGTAGTAGTAGTAGTAGTAGTAGTAGTATAAGCATTATTATTGAAAGTGTTATTAGTATGCGTTTATCCGTCGTATCATCATTCGTAGTATTATTACTATTATCAGTGGTATTACTATTCGTGTTATCATTATTCTTCCGAGTGCAAGTATTATGGTGATGCGTCTCATTCGTCTTCGTAAGGTTCGTCTTCTTTCGTCTGCTTAGCATTACTCTGCTTCTTATCATGAGTATTATTAATCCTCCCCTCCTCCTCCTCCTCCTCCTCCTCCTCCTCAGCCTCCTCCCCCCCCTCCTCCTCCTCCCCCTCCCCTCCTCCCCTCCTCCTCCTCCTCCTCCTTGCTCCTCCTCCTTCCTCCTCCACCCTCCTCCTCCTCGCTCCTCCTCCTCCTCCTCCTCCTCCTCCTCCTCCTCCTCCTCCTCCTCCTCCTCCCCCCTCGCCTCCTCCTCCTCCTCCTCCTCCTCCTCCTCCTCCACCTCCTCCTGTTCCTCCACCCCCCCACCTCCTCCTCCTCCTCCTCCTCCTCCTCCTCTCCTCCTCCTCCTCCCCCTCCTCCTCCTCCTCCCCCTCCTCCTCCTCCTCCTCTCCTCCTCCTCCTCCTCCTCCTCCTCCTCCTCCTCCTCCTCCTCCTCCTCTCCTCCTCCTCCTCATCATCATCATCATCATCATCATCATCATCCATCATCATCATCATCATCATCATCATCATCATCCATCCCCCTCCTCCTCCTCCTCCTCCTCCACCTCCTCCTGTTCCTCCACTCCTCCTTCCTCCTCCTCCTCCTCCTCCTCTCCTCCTCCTCCTCCTCCTCCTCCTCCTCCTCCCCCCCCCGCCTCCTCGTCCTCTCCTGCTCCTCCTGCTCCTCCACCTCCTCCTGCTCCTCCACCTTCTCCTCCTCCTCCTCCTCCTCCTCCTCCTCCTCTCCCTCTTCCTCCTCCTCATCCTCCTCCTCTTCCTCCGCCTCCTCCTTATTCCTGCGCCCTCTCCACTCCACCTCCCCTCCACCCCCCCTTCTCTCCCCCCCGCCTCCTTGACCCTTTGCTCCCTCCAGCCGGTCCTCCACTGACACGAGGGCGTCCTCCAGCTTCTGGGCCCGCGCCGACTCCTTGACCCACATGTCTTTGGCGTGGGAGAGGACGCTCTCGCGCTCCCGCAGCCTGAAACGACGAAGCCGACGTTGCGAGGCAAAGAAGATGGCGGAGCCGTACATGCAGCAACGGGGGGAGGAGAAGGAGGAGGCGGCAATGACCAATAAAACAGCACGTCTGCCTTGCGAAGGCCCCAACCCTGTGGAGATGCGAGAGATGCAGGACACGACCTTCTCCTCATATGTAGCTCGCCGCGATAGGGATGGAGCCCAGGCGAGCAGAGGCGATCTGAACTCCCTACGGTGCGCGATACAGATGAGGGGTGCGCCGAAGCCAGTTTGGGGACGCCTTCGAGGACTCCCACTGAGACCCGAAAAAGAACTCTATATGAGGGCAAGATCTCCGCGAGAGCAAGTCCATAGGTAAGAGAATGGCCAGAGAGGAGGCACATAAGCACCGACGTCGGACGGAGTATGAGCAGGAAGGAGGGAGGAGCAGCAGCAGCACCAGAAGCAGCAGGAGCAAGAACACAGGGACTGCATGGGCGGACAGAACAACGAAGACCGGCTGTGGCACCTGAGTGCCGCAGGAATGTGTATCGGTAGCACGGGGGTGGCATATCCCTGGCGCCGGGGGAGGGGGAGGAGCAGAAAGAGGAGGAGGAGGAGCAGGAGGAAGAGGAGGAGGAGGAGGCGGAGGAGGAGGAGGAGGGAGGGGGGGAGGGAGGGAGGGAGGAGGGAGGGCCAGTTTATTCACAGCCGAGAGCTCCAGGGGGGTGGAGGGGGGGGGCGGGGGAAACTAAAGACTTCTAGAGGTTATCCCATGCACTGGTCCTCTTTCTACTGTCGCTGTTCATCCCTGTCCTCGTGCTCCCCACCCCCATCCCCCTCACCACTGCGAACTGCGTCCAGGAAAGGACGCACTGTTTCAGGATCTCCTGCCCCAGAAGGAAGACATCAGGCCAGGAATGAAGCACACAGAAACACACGTATACACTGGGAATCCGACAGCCACCCCCTCCAAATGAACGCTGTGCTAGCAGCTGCTGGCGTATATGCCTCTGCTCACAAAGAGATCGAACTCAGCATATTCCTCTTCCTATATTTTTATAAGCCGGGGCGGGGGGAAAACCCGTCCCCCCCCCTAAAACCGGACCCCCGGGATCTGGAGCTTTGGGACCCTCCGGACGGGCCTCGAAGCGGCCCCTGGACCTCGCAGGGCGTTTTGCCAAGCCTTCGCAACACACCCAGGGCGATCAGGGAGGTCACCGGAGACGTCCCAAAGACCCCCAAGACAGCACAAGAGCGCTCCAAGAAGCCGTCATACCCCGAAAGATCGCTCCAAAACGTACCAAGAGGCCTCCAAGAGCACTCCCAAGAAGGCCCCCAAAGGGAAAAATCATTGATTAGATATAGGTTTTTGGTGCATTTGGGGTTCTCCTCTTTTCGGCTTCCCGATGCTCCAAGACGGCGGTCTCCTAGGCGTCCGAAGCCGCCTGGGATGCTCCAAAATCGCCCCACAACCATCCGAAAGGGCTTCCAGGCAGTCCAAGAGAGCCCCAAAACGGCACAACAGGAGTCCAAAATGGCCCTTAGAGAGCACCATGGCGGCCCAAGATGGCCCCAAGACACCCTCCGAAGCATTCCAAATCGTGACTGGGGCGTTCAGGGAGATCGCGGTTAGAGGCAGGTTGGCCTTAGGAAACCCCATGGCCCCCAGAACACACCCAGGAGGCCTCCAAAAGGCTTTAAAAAAGCCTGAGAACTTTGGTGAAGCCCCGAGAGGCTCTCCAAGGAGGAGCCTCCGCAAAAAGAGCTGAGGAGGATGGGGAGAATGCCCAGGGTATGGCGAGAATGAGGAGAACATAAGCATGGAGGAAAGATAACAAACAACATTGTTATAACGGCGATGCCAGAAAAGACAGCAAGGAGTTATCGCTAAATTGTCAGCTTGACCTTCCTGCCATTTCCGCCTGCATACCAAACTTCAAGGACCAAGGTGCATGGCGCGAAGCGCCACTGCAGTCTTGTATATATACACATATATATATATATACATATATATATAGCCTGTGGAAGAGGCTGGACTGAAGAGATCGTCATCTTCAGCTTCCTCGTCGGCATGGTTTCCCCTGGGGCTTGCCATAGTCATCGTTAAATTCTTTGTGGGTGATGATGTAGAGGACGGGAACAAACGGTCAAAAAGGATCGCCTGGACTCCAGCTGCTCCGACCGGTCCCTGAAGGTGTTGGAGCTCTCCCGCACCGCACGGGCCTGCCATCCCCTGTCCCTCTCGTGCTGCCGCCGTTCAGGCTGGACCACAACATGTAGGTTCGTCTTCTCTCCATTAGCACTCTATGTGATACAGCCCATGTGGTGATGCTGCCTGTGTACGGTGCTATGTAGAACCATCCACGTGGTGCAGTTCACACATATATCTGTGTTGGGGTATACACATCTACGTGTGATGCGCAATATCTTATATATATATATATGTGAACATAGGTATAAACATTTTTCATGTATATAGGAACTGTATGAACATATGCATGCATGTATCACTATACGCATGATGCCATGTATGTGGTGCAGTATACACGATGCAACAAGACATGAGGTGCAGTCTATGTCAATCCGTGCGTGGTGCAATTTGCGCGGTGCAACGCCAGCCAGCGCACGAGGGCGCCCACGAGGCAGCGCCCGCGAGGCAGCCACCGGCTCAAGACCCAGCCGCGCCAGGCAGGATCGCCAAGACCCTCCGAAAGCACAAGGGGACGTCGACACATCTCGAAATGAATGTACCTTGATGTATCCTCACGGGCAGGGTCTCCCTCGATGAGGCATTACGCGCGTCTCTGTCTGGCAACGGTAATGGTAAACCATGTGCTGGCTTTACCAATCGAAACAGTGTCTCCGCCAAACTGGGTGGCCGGTTACTGTGGCGATGACATTGATGATGGTCCTTGTCATCGCGCAAAAGCGGATGGCACGATTTACTTCAGAGAAAAATGCTGTCGATACGCCAAAGGCATGCTAGCCACTTGTCGACACGCCAAAGGCGTGCCAACCTGCAAATAGAACATTCGCCGTCCCTTCAAGTCATCCTGAAAATTGGCGGTGTCCCCACTGGTGAGAAGGGGGTCTACCACGCAGCAGCTGACCACAGAACAATAAGAGGAGACGAGGGACGGATGAGCAGCAACGCCAAGGAAAATGTGAGCGGGAAGCTGCGCCCACGGAGAAAATGAACCGCTCCTGCCAGGGCTCGCGATGAGTTCCTTGAGCAACCTTTGAAAGATGCACTTGTTCGTTTGACGTAGGGACTGGGGCGGAGAGGTGTGCAATGAGTTCCTGGTGGGAGAGGGGACGGGAGGAGCAGGAGGAGGAGGAGGAGGAGGAACAGTGACCACATACTGTGACGGAGACGCATCCGCTTCCTCCTCCTCCTCCTCGTCCTCCTCCTCCTCGTCCTCCTTCCTCCTCCTCCTCCTCGTCCTCCTCCTCCTCCCTCCTCCTCCTCCTCCTCCGTCTCCTCCTCCTCCTTCTCCTCCTCCTCCCCTTCCTGCTTCCAGTCGTTGAAGGAGACCGTGACGAGCAGTAAGGTGTCCACAAACAGCCCCCAAAGCACGCCTACAGAAGGTCTCCTGGATTTCTCGGCTTCCTGGACGCTGCTGGCGGGCCTAGCCGAGGAGCCGAAAACAAACAGGAAGGCGGCCAAACGGCCCCGCGAGAGCTCCAAGCCACCCGAAAACCCTCAAAGCGCCCAAAGCTCCAGCCCCACACCACTCCAAGGCGCCTGAAGTCGGCCCAAAGAATGCCCACAAAAGCAAGTCCAACGCAAACAACGTTGTTTCCCCGCACGGCGTTTGCATGATTGTGGGGCGCTCGGCTCTTCGGCAAAATTCTGGGCTTCCGAGACGGCCAAGAGGCCTCGACGAAGGCGCCAACACTGATTTGAAGGACATCCAGAACGTCGAATAGCGCCCCACGGCGGCCCAACAGGGCTCCAAGGCAGTGCGAAGCGACCCTCCGGGGAGGAGCCTTCGAAACAAGAGCAGAAAGGGAACACAAATAATGGCTCACAAAGTCGAGAACGAGCATGGGAAGACGGCACAAGAGAGAAAGGATGAGGAATCCAACGCGAGGAGTGCGACTAGAACGAAACTGGCGAAACTGGGAGCAAGGATCTGCTTCTTGTGTTCGTTTGTATGTGTTTTGCTTGCTCTCTTTCTCTCTCTCTCTCTCTCTCTCTCTATATATATATATATATATATCCTCTCTTCTATGTGTAGCTATTCTTATATGTACGTACATACTAGAACCATCGCGCACGCTTCGCGCGTGCTTAGGTTCTAGCTGGTCGAGTGCTGACCGCATTGGGACAACAAGGCGGTCATGAATAATGAGGTCAACATTATGTGCTTCCTGCTTCCTCCTGCCTCTTCCTCTTTCCTCCTCCTCCGCTCTCACTCTCTCCCCTCCTCCATTTCCGACGATGCGCCCGGCGCGCCGGGCGTGTCCCCATCCAGCAACCCTCGCCCGAGACATCTTCGCAAAACCGCACCACAGGCCCTCGGCGCACCCCCAGGGACCGCTTCCAGCGGTGCGCTATAGATGCGCCTGGCGCGCCAGGCGTGTCCCGAACCGGCGCCCTCGCTCGAGACGTCCTCGCTAGATCGCCCAACGGGCCGGGGCCACTGCGGCGCGCACTGGGAGGCAGCCTTGCAGAAGCGCCCCAGGGGCTCCCATCGCGCCCCCAGGGGACCGTTGCCGGCGATGCGCCGGACGCGCCGGTCGCGCCGGGCGTGTCCCCATCCAGCGCCCTCGCTCGAGACGTCCTCGCAGAATTGCCCCACGAGCCCCCAGCGCAACCCCCGGGGGGCCATTTCCGGCGGTGCGCAGTGGGCGCGCGGGCGTGGCCCAAGCCAGCGCACTGGCTCGAGAAGCCGATAAACCGATAAACCGATAAACTGTTACAAAAACCATCCTGTGGTTTCCCAGCTCGCGCGATTCTCAACCAATGTACCGATCCGCCGAAATAATGCTTCGACTCACCGGTTGATCGGTTGATCTGTTCTTTGTGGATGCCATGCGGCTTCAATCTACATGTCCTCCCCGCCGTCTCTCAATCCGCTTCGTCCCCCTGCCCGTGTGCCCTCTCTGCGGTGGTTCGAGACGGCTGCGGTCCACGTGGGCCCACGCACTCGCGGGGATGCCGTGAGCACGTTAGCACCGCCACAAATACCACCCACTGGTGCGAGGACTGACAAACTGTTCCAACACTCCCGCGTCTCCGCACGACTGTGCTCAGCCATGCCCGGCCGCCTCCCTTCCCGATCCGTCAGCGGGTGCAGCCTGGGAAGGGTTCAGCTGCTGCGCAAAAGAGAACAGTCCATCGATCGCGGACATCAGGTTCGGCCTCCGGTTGAGGCGGACGCCGTGTCTGGCGCAGATCTCGGCATACCTCTCGCAGATGCGCGGGAAGTGACAGTGGCACACGTTTGGCACGAGGTGGTGCAGGCTCTGGGCATTCAGGCCGGCGGTGGCGTGCGTCCAGAACGGCGAGCCGACGGAGTAGTCCAGACTGGCCTCCGCCTGCTGAGCCCACCAGCACGTGTCGGCCAAGCGTTCTTGGCGGCCCAGCGCAGGTGTCAGCTGGCACTCCTCCTGAACATGCGAGGTGAACGCCATGACAAACCAGATCACCGATGAGCCCACGAACGGCCAGATCGACAGGAACAACGCTCGCAGGGGGTCAGCGGCAAACGCGAAAAGGGGCCAAAGGACTACCAGCACCGACGGCACAACAGAAAGTCCAAGCTCAAATTTACTTAGTCTGGGCGGCGCTGGCTGGATACAGTATGAAAACGGTGGGTGTGGCCTGTCTTCGTAGGCCCACAGTGGGCCCATGAAGCAGCCTCCGATCGTAGATAAGCATCCTTTGATCATGAATTGAGTGAATCCGTACTGGCCAAATGTAGGCTTCGGGTCTGCATGCTCAGGAGTTGCATTTGATAACCGCGTTGTGCCCATGATGTTGACATCGCTATCGTAATTGTGGTCGTTTGTGTACTGGTGATGCGAGACCAGATGCTGAGTGAACCAAACGAACACATTCTCATAGATTGGATGCGCTGTGAACTGGCAGACGTAATTGACGGCTGGAACCGTTGACAATGTAGAATGACAAGCCTCGTGGAAAGTGAGCGCAACGAGAAACCAGTGGGCCAATGGCAAAACTGCCGTTGCTAATATGTCCCCTTGGAGCCACAGCCACCAACACGTAAAAGTACAGATCAGAGCCAGAAAAGCGAGCGCCCAATGAGACGGTGTTGCTTTCATAGACTCTGGCGTAGGGAACTCCTCTGACAGAAAGGCATGCAATTCCTTTGCGAACTCGCTCTTGTCGCCACTTGGCTGCAGAGGTTTGGGAGCGCCTTCCTGGGCAAAGGTGAATGGCGCGGCCCCCATCGCCAACGCCGCTGCATCGTCCAACTGTGGCAAGCGCTCCAAGACGGACTGAGCGCGGCTGCCCATGTGCCAGTGGATCGCATAGAAGAGCGCTGTGACATCCCGTCCTCTGGCAAAATCCAGAACCCACGCTCCACCAGGATGCCGGTCCGCCCAATTGTGGATGTCATACCATCTGCCGCTGATTCGCAGGGGCAGGGCTCCGCTCTGCGATTCAAGAGCTTGTGCCCTGCAGGATGCTGTTCTCCAGCTGCTGGCTCGCAGTCCCCTCCGGGAGAAACCAATACAGAGACCAAAGCCGAGAAAACACGCTACCATCTCAGAGGGGGTTCCTCGAGTCTTGCCCGAGGTGCGCAGGTGAAGCGAAGGTGAAAGTCGAGATCGAGGCACTGGCGCACAAACATTGGACCTTGGTGCTGGCACAAGGAGGAAAGCGGTGCACTGTGGCAGTGGCAGACGGGTCTTCGCGGCACGCGGCCGCCAACCCAATGCAACTAAGAACGCCAAAGCACAACGCCGCCGCATGGAGACACATCTCATGCTGCCTCCTTCCCCACTCCAACCCAAATCCACTCGAAACAAATAGCGTGCGCCAACATGACTTGAGCCCAAACCGCTACGGATGGCAAATGCTGGCTGATTCGGAAGAGAAGTGAGCTCCGCGCCGTGAATTCGTGCTGGGCATCTCGGGGGCTCGAGAATGGCTCAGGATCGCCCCAAGATGGCTCCAACATGGCTTAAGCCAGCCCCAAGGGGGCCACAATTGGCCCTGGGGTGGCCCCAAACGGCCCGAAGATAACTACTCCGAGGCCCCGATGTGGCTCCGCGAAGGGCGTTCGAGAGGAGGAACTCGGAAGACATCTGCAAGCTGTTGCACGCTTCCTCACACGGTTCTTGCACTCAGGGCTTCTCCCTGGCGTTCCAGAGGGCTGGCCCTCGTCGTCGCAGTCGGCCGTGCGCGCGGTGGCGCCCTACGGCTGGAGCTCCGTGCACTGGTGCCCTGCGCATTGCCGCCGGCCGCTCCCAGGAGGAGGAGGAGGAGGAGGAGGAGGAGGAGGAGGAGGAGGAGGAGGAGGAGGAGGAGGAGGGGGAGGAGGGGGAGCAGGAGGAGGAGGAGCAGGAGGAGGAGGAGGAGGAGGAGGAGCAGGAGGAGGAGGAGGAGTCCCTGCGCACCGGCCGGCGCACCCGAGCGCGCTGAGTGCACCGGCGGTGGCGGTCGGCCGCCGGCGCGCCGGTGCGTCGGTGGCCACCGTGGCCCTGCGGCCGGTGTCCGGCGGCGCCCCGTGCTCGGGGCTCCGTCGCGCGTGCCCCGCGGCGCCCGCCTTCGGTCGGCGGCCGGTGCCCACGGCTGCTCGCTGCCCGCGGTGCCCGGGGCGTGGTCGCTGCCCCGTGCGCGGTGCCCCGCGGCCGGTGCCCGGTGGTGAGCCCTGTGGCTGGTGCTCTGTGGTGCCGCGCACGGATGGTCGCCTTGCACACGGAGGCCCCACGGCTGGTGCACTGCGGTCGCCGCCCTGGCCGGTGCCTTGTGGCGCCCCATGGTTGAGACCGGGAGCACTGCGGTCGGTGCCCTGTGGCTCGTCCCGAGCTGCTTGCACATCAGGAGTGCCAGAATCCACTACGTGGGGTCCACGCGCTGGCCTTGCTGCCACTGGGACCACCGTGAGCGCTTCGAGGCGCTCATCTGTTCGGCAGGCGTAGGTACTGCTCTGTCTTGCTCCTCCTCTGTCTCCTCGTCTGAAGCCCCTCCTGAAGCTCTCTTGAACCATCTTGGAGCTGTCTGGGTGCGGTCTGGGTCTAGCCTGGAGCTCTCGGTGGGCGTCGTAAGGGCTATTGCGTACTCGAGCTGGTTATTGCCTGGTGTTGTGAGCTGCTGGCTGCTGCTGCTGCTTCCCTCCGAATTCCTCTCTTCCGCTCCCCCTCGCGCACATTCTGCCCGAAGCGAGCCGATCGACGTCTCAGCAGCCTCCAGCGATTTTGCTACGGAAGACCCATCGCGTGTCAGCAGAGCACACCGATGGGAATACTGCGGTCAGACACTGCGTAACGTTCCCTCCGCCTCCACCTCCTCATCAGCACCACCACTACCATCATCATCACCACCATCATCATCCACCCACCACCACCACCACCAACATCATCATCATCATCATCATCATCATCAGCAGCAGCATCAGTAACTGACATCATCAGCATCATCAACATCATTATCATCATCACCATCATCAGCATCATTACCATCATCGGGCAGCATCAGCATCAGCATCAGCAACCTCATCAGCATCATCATCAGCAGCATCATCAACACCACCACCATCATCAGCGGCAGCATCATCGTCATCATCATCAACAACATCGTCATCATCGTCAGCATCATCAACACCATCTCCTCCTCCTCATCATCATCATCAGCACCACCATCACCATCATAATCCGCAACACCACCATCACTACCAACAGCACCATCCCCATCACCACCACCATTGTCATCATCGTCATCATCATAAACATCATCATCATCATCACCAGCATCACCAACATCATAACCACCTTTTATCATCATCACAAAGATCATCAGCATCAACATCACCAACATCATCATCAGCGCATCATCATCATCATCGCCATCAGCAGCGTCATCATCACCTTCGTCATCACCGTCATCAGCATCATCATCATCAGCATCCTCATCCTCATCCTCATCCGCATCCGCATCCTCATCTTTGACGTCATCATCGGCATCATCATCACCATCACAATCAATATCATCATCACCACCATCACCGCCATCAGCAGAAGCATCATCATCACCACCAGCAGCAGCACCAGCAGCCGCAGCAGCAGACGCATCAGCATCAGCATCATCATCATCTTCAGCATCATCACCACCAACATTACCATGTGCAGCAGCATCCTCATTGTTCTTCTAAATATTATCACCACCAAGACCATTACCATCCTGAACCTCAGAATCATTCTCATCCTCATCCTCAAAACGGTATGATCTTCGTCATCATCTCCATCGTCATCACCGTCACCAGCATCAACATCATCATCATTATCAATGTCCTCATCCTCCTCATCCGCATCCGCATCCCACATCCTCATCCGCATCCACATCATCATCCTCTGCATCACCATCACAAGCATCATCATCACCACCATCATCATCACCACCATCATCATCACCACCAACATCACCATGAGCAGCAGCAGCATCATCACCACCACCAGCAATAGCATCATCATCATCAACATCAGCATCATCCTCATCATCCTCATCATCCACATCATCCTCCTCATCCTCATCCTCAGCTTTATCCTCATCCTCACCATCATCCTCCTCCTCGCAATCATCAACGTCATCATCAGCATCAGCACCATCATCAGTACCACCAGCATCATCATCATCATCATCATCATCATCATCATCATCATCATCATCATCATCATCATCATCATCATCATCATCATCGTGAACATCATCATCGTCATCATCATAATCATCATCACCATCACCATCATCATCATCAGCATCCTCGTCCTCATCCTCAAGCGCATCCGCATCCTCATCCACATCATCATCCTCATCCTCACCATCATCATCATCACCACCATCATCTATCATCATTACCATCATCATCATCACCACCATCATCAGCAGCAGCATCACACCACCAACAGGAGCAACAACAGCAGCAGCAGCACCAGCAGCATCAGCATCATCACCAGCACCATCAGCATCCGCATCATCACCCTCATCATCAGCACCCTCATCATACCCATCATCCGCATCACCATCATCATCATCATCATCATGATCATCATCATCATCATCAACAACATCCTCATCCTCATCCTCATCATCCTCATCATCATCGGCATCACAATCGTCATCATCACAGTTGCCATCACCATTATCAGCATCATCATCATCAACAACATCCTCCTCCCAATCCTCGTCAACATCCTCATCCGCAATCTCATTACCATCCTCATTCCCACAATCACCCTTACCATTCCCACAATCACCATCATCATCACCATCATCACCATCACCACCACCACCACCATGATCATCACCATTATCATCACAACCACAAACAACAACACCATCAGCAGCAGCATCATCACCATCAGCAGCAGCATCAGCATCATCCTCATCCTCATCCTCATCATCATCATCCTCAGCATCCTAATCACCGTTATCAGCGTCATCATCATCAACATCGACATCATCATCGTCATCATCACAATCGTCATCACCATCATCAACAGCATCCTCATCCTCATCCGCGTCCGCATCATCATTACCATCCTTATCCTCGCCATCTTCCTCATCATCACCAATCATCGCCACAACCATCGTCGTCATCGTCATCACCACCGCCATTACCATCAGCAACAGCATCATCATCACCACCACCAGCAGCACCAGCATCGGCAGCAGCAGCAGAAGCATCATCCTCATCCTCATCACCGTCAGTCGTCATCATCCTCATCATCATCCTCATTCTCATCATCATGCTCATCCTCATCCTCATCCTCATCCACATCCCCGTCCTCATCCTCATCCTCATCCTCATCCTCATCCTCATCCTCATCGACATCATCATCATCATCATCATCATCATCATCATCACCATCGTCATCACCGTCATCAACATCATCATCATTATCATCAACTTCAACATCATCATCATCATCATCAACATCCTCATCCTCATCCTCGTCCGCAACCGCGTCCTCATTCTCATCATCAGCATCATCATCATCAACGTCATCATCATCAGCATCATCATCACCATCATCCTCACCATCACCATCATTATAACAATCATCATCTTCACCGCCACCATCATCATCATCATCACCACCTCCACAATCACCATCAGCGGCAGCAGCATCATCATCACCACCAGCAGCAGCAACAGCAGCAGCTGCATCCGCAGCAGCATCACCATCATCACCATGATCAGCATCATCATCATCATCATCATCATCATCATCATCATCATCATCCTTATCATTCTCATCCTCACCTCATCCTCATCCTCATCCTCATCCTCCCCATCATCCTCAGCATCATCGTCATACTGATGATGATGGTGATGATCATCATCATCATCAGCATCATCATCGTCGTCATCGTCATCGGAAGCATCATCGTCATCATCACCACCGTCATCACCGTCATCAACACCAATATCGTCCTCATCCGCATCCTCATCCCCATCCTCATCCTCACCATCCCCATCATCATCACCATCATTACCACCACTACCACCATCATCATCATCATAATCATCATCATCATCATCATCATCATCATCATCATCATCACCATCACCATCACCATCAGCAGCAGCAGCATCATCACCACCACCAGCAGCAGCACCAGCAGCATCATCACCCTCATCATCATGCTCATCCTCATCATCCTCCGCATTGTCGTCAACAGCATCAGCATCATCATCAGCATCAGCATCATCATCATAACCACCAGCATCATCATAATCATCATCATCGTAATCATCATCATCATCATCGTTGTAATCATCATCGTCATCATCATCGTCATCATTATCATTATGATCATCATCATCATCATCATCAGCATCATCATCATCATCATCATCATCATCATCATCACCATCATCATCATCATCATCACCCTGCGTGCACTCAACCTCCCCCGTTAGCCCACGCCTCGCGCTGGACGTCGTCCAGGCGGCTCTGCAACCTGTGGCACTGCTGCTCGAGAGCTCTCAGCCTCTCGGTGTCGACGCCCTCCTCGGCTGGCCTTGCAGATGGGCTGGAAAGGAAAGCGATGAAGCGGGGAGGTAGAGAATGGGGCAGGCAGCAAAGAAAGGGGGGGAGAGACGTGGCAGCGGAGGGAGGGAGAGACTGGAGGCGGGGAGGGAGGGGAGGAGAGCGGGCAGGGAAGAAGGAAGCCGGGGGGCAGAAGGGAGGGAGTGGAGGCGGGGGGGGCAGGGAAGAAGGGAGGGAGGAGAGCGGGAGGAAGGCGGACTAACATTGCACCATGCCGTAGAGACCGTATATCCGCCGCCGTGCCGCGGGGCACTGAGTGGAGTGTCCTTGGGTCCCTTCGAGCTCTCCGTTAGTAAATGCTGTAAGTGATCTTCAAAGGGTCCCATACCCTGGATTCCTCAGAGCTCTCGGGGCTTGTCGCGTGGCCTTTTCCCGAGTCCCTGGGAGCTCTCTTGGGGGCCCAGACCTCCAACATGTCGTACGCTGGTACCTGGGCCCCCCTGCTGTGACCGTCGTGGCGGTTTCCTGGGCCGTCTTGGAGGCCAGCCCAGGAAGCCCAAACCGTTCAAAAACAGTATTCTTACATGATCCCAGCGAGCTCCCCTTTTTAAGCCTCAGGGAGCATTCGAGACTGCCCCGGAGGCCCCCCACCCGAGGCCCCCACGAAGGGCCCAACCCTAGACCTCCAAGAGGCCCCTGAGAGGCCGTAATGGGACCCCAATATGCCCCCAATCTGCCTCCAATCGGTGATCGACTGGCTCCCAGATGGGCCCAGCCAGACCCCAAGAGGCCCCCAAGAAACTTCAAAGAGGTCCCCCGAAAGGGCCCCCCCACAAACCCGAAAAAAACGCCTCTGGGAGGCCCCCCGTCCACGACCCAGGCAGGCATTGTGGCGGGATGGGCCGAATGCAGGAGAATGCACAAGCGACAGGCATGCAGGCAATACTCTTCCTCCTCCTCCTCCTCCTCCTCCTCCTCCTCCTCCTCCTCCTCCTCCTTCTCATCCTCCTCCTCCTCCCTCCTCCTGCTCGTCCTCTCCGTCCTGCCTCGTTCCCCAGCTCCTCCCTCGTTCCCCTGTCTCCCTCCTCCTCCTCCTCCTCCTCCTGCGTCGGCCTGGCGGCCGATGCGACCTCTGCGGCCCGCTTCTCCTCCGCACTGGCGAGCAGGCGCTCGAGGCTGGAGATGCGGTCGATCAGCTCGGCGTTGGAGAGGGCCTCTGCGGGTTGCGAGCTCCGACCGTGCACGGGAGGCGGGAAGGAGAGAGAGTCCCCTTTCTGCGCACACACCAATGCCCGCGAACCAATCCCTCGAGAGCCTGCCGGGAGGTAGGCTGACACCGTGCCTATCCGCTGTGAGCGTGTCGTGGGCGGAAGGTACCCTCGAAAAGGGTCTTGAGAGAGCGAGAGAGAGAGAGAGACAGAGAGAGAGAGAGAGAGAGAGCGCACCGATTCGGACAAAGGACAAGTGTCTGTCCAGGTCCGCCGGGTACGCGCGCCGGCTGGGCCATCCCCACACCGTCGGGAGGCGCCGCCTGACAAACTGTGGTGGAACAAATCCTCCCCCCTGGCGCGGTCGAAAAAGGGACTCCGGCTAGAATAAACTGGAAGGGCCGTTGCGACGAGGGCGTGGCACGCCCCCTTTGTGCGCCCGTACTGTAGGGAGGCACCGACTTTTAGTGCGTTTTGGCATGCGCACCTCGGTGCCTTGGTGAAGAAGGCGCCGCGCTGGGGCATCCCCCCCGACGGCCCACTGCCAGGGCTGCGGAACAGGTGGCCAGGTGTTCTCGCCGCGCGCGAAGGGTTGGAGAGGCCAGCGCTGGTGCAGTGGCGGTGAGCAGCAAGCCACGCTTGGATATTTGTTCTTCGAGAAGGCCCCCAGGAGAAACAGGCGTGCGGAAAGCTATTTGGAAGTCATTCCAGGCGGACTGCGCTCTCTGTGGAACCTGTTAAGGAGGGGTCATGACTGTTCCTGGGTGCTACGCAGAAAGAACGAGAACGAGAACGAGAGAGGGAGGATGGGGGAACAAGAAGCGACAGAGATACAGGGAATGAGGGATTGGGGAGTGATGAGGGAGGGGGGGAGGGGCAGAAAGAGGCGAAACGGGGGGGGGCGGGAAACAAGAGGAAGGGAGAGAGGGAAGGGGAGAAGAGGAGAGGAGAGAAGAGAAGGGGAAAGTGGAGTCCGTCGGGGGTGGGAGGGGGAAAAGGGAGGGGGGGCGAACGCGAGCTCCCTCTTCCTTCGCCTCCGCTTGCTCCTCATGTAGGGGGGAGGGGCTTCGGAGACGTCACCCGAGCTTCCCAAGGGTGTCCTCCTCCTCCTCCTCATCGTCATCCTTTCTCTGCTCCTCTGTCCATTCTTCGCTCGTCCTCGCCCCCTGTCTCACCAGAGACGGTGGTCAGGCGACTCATGAAAAAGTTCGGAGGCGCGCAGGACAGCATTCTAGATGGCAGCATGGCACGACAAAAACGCCATGACATTCGACTCCACGAGAGTAAGCCTCTGAACGAAACTCGTGCGAGTCAACGATTCAGCGCCGCGCTGCAACGCCATTGTCTTTTCACGCACGTCGCGCGGCAACCTAAAGGGGATGATTACGAGAATGAGGATGATGATGGTGGTGGTGGTGGTAATGACGATGGTGATCATGCTGGTGATGGTGGTGGTGGCGGTGGTGATGGTGATGCTGATGATGATGGTTCTTCTTTCCTTCCTGACCCGATAAGACCCCCAGCCCGCCGTTTGACACAATCGAGAAATTATGTCAGCGAGCTGGAGTCACGGTCGCGAGGCTCGCGGTGCAAAGGCCCTCCCAAAATCCGCGGGAAACCCACTGCGCACTCCCGAGTGACACAACTTAATGCGTGAGAAGAAACACCTGCCACGAAGCGCTGGCCCCCAAACTGGCACATGGGCGGCGCTAGAGGCAAGCGGTTCTCCTCCGCCCACAGTCCAGCAGGGCGCAACCAGACACCTGAACGTCGCCCACTGCTGCGCAAACCTCCAGCGCGTGGCTAGATTTTTCGGCGAAGCTTCACAGTGCCATTGTTGCTCAGAGCGCGCTCCCCTGAATTCGATGCTGGCGGGATAGCCGACAAGGGCTCTCAGCTGGGCGCCGTTGGCGACGCGACCTGGTCGTGCTCTGCCCTCAGCGCGCTCGCCCACACGACGGAGCCCATTCCCATCATCAGGATGCTCGCTACGGCGCTTCTCTGGATTGTGTAGATCCGACGCTTGGCTCTGGGGAATGCGTAAATCCGACGGTCGTCTCGGCCCACGGGATTGTGTAGATCCGACGCTTGGCCTATGGGCTTGTGCAGATCCGACTGTCGGCCCCTGGCATTGTGTAGATCCGACGCTGGTGGCCGTCACGTCCGCGGCTGGTCCTCGAACTCCCCAGGCTTCGCGAGGCCGGCCGCGGCCTTCCGCATGTTTGGGTTGCGAGGTGGAGCCCCGCGCTTGATCTCGACCTGTGGCTTCAGAGCGATGGCGGCGATGATCTCGTTCGCGACGCTCCTGAGCTCAGGAATGACCATGAGCTCGACCTTGTAGCGGTCCTCGCGGCCCCACGCCTTCTGTCGATACGCCGTCTTCTGGTAGCGCGTGAGCACATGGCCTCGGATCGCCTCGACGTCCGTCTGGCTCTGATGGTACGCGATCAGGGCCTCTTCCTTCCCCTCTGGGTCCGACTGGCCCTGCGTCGAGAAGTTCACGAGCTCGACCCGCGCGCGAACGCGAGCTGGCACGAGCACGGCGATATCGTGCGAGGACGATGCCGCCTTCTCCTCGTTGTCGCACTGCTTGGGGCCCTTCTCGATCGGCTCCAGCTACGGGTGAAGCTCAGCCACAATCGCCACCTGTCCTAAACTCCTTGCACCCGCCTGCTGGGCCCATCCAGGCCCGCCACGCTCTTGGCCGCGTTGATCGCCAGGTCCCCCACGTCCCGGTCCGCGCCCGCCGAGCCGACGGCCCTGTGCTTCCTCGCCGGAGCCGCCGATGCCACCGCCGTCGGCTCGTCCATCTTCGAGACAGCGCCGAAGATCCACGACAGCGCCGCCAGGAGAGTGCACTCGAACGTGCGCGCGAAGAGCCGAAAGAGAGGGGAACGCCGATGATGCACAACCGAACGGGCGCGCAAGTGAGGATGGGGCCCGGGGAGTCGCCAAGCCCGAAATCACAGACCCTGCTGTCTCAGGACAACTCGGAGGACCCTTTCGCCCTCGGGCCTCCAAATGCCGACGGGTAGTATCCATGCTTTGGAAACACTTCTCGCGCCAGGAACACTGGTTGCATGCAGCCGCCTGCCTCCGCCGTGCCCGCATGTTATGATGGTGTGCCTGATGAACTTTAAGCTGACGAAATGTGCGTGACATGTGCATGTGCACCGGCATCCCGTCTGCTCCACTAGGTCGCACATATAAGCACCAGGACCGTTGACGATGCTGAGCTGGGGTTCGGGAACTGACGCGCGACGCCGCAGAAGGCCCCGAGGAGGTCGGAAGAGA